CAGAGTAGGCACTAAATAGAAGGTGATAACATTTACCGCATCACGAAACCTAACTTCAGCCCTAATGCGACCTACAATTGGATGACTCGTGCCATCCGCGGTTTTAATTATGGTACTGAAATCGTGCACCTCCAGACCGGCTTTAGCCACGAATTGCAAGCAGTTTTTACCGAGACACGTGACCGTTGCCCCGCTATCGAGTAGACCGATTATCTCCTGGCCTCCTATACTTAACCGCGTATACAGACGTGAGTCTTCACCCTCGTAAAGTGAAGCCGACGAAATTTCATGACGTAGCCTTTTCCTCACTTTATAACGTTCTCGAGCTTTTCTAATTTTATTCGTCACTCGACCGAATATTCTACCTCTAGCTTCATTATACTCTTGAATCCGAATATGCAGGGGTTTGAGTTCTCGAAGCCGAGGCTCAGGTTTCAACTCAAACTCCGACCTATTCGGATTCTTTAATATTCTCAATTGTGGTTGTTGTTGTTGTTGCTTTTCCCTACACTGTACTGGGCCTACACCTCGGTCGACCTCGCCTCCCCAGTTCGAGACGGGTTCCGGGATCTGTTTCCCTGACATTTTGGACATTTAGGGGCCACCACGTTATCTTTACTCACACCGGAAGCAAAACTGTCTATTAATGGGCTCGGGACAGTCGACAAAACTATGACCAATGACCTTACAGTTCCAACAGGTATAGTGACTTGTGGACCGTATACCATCAACCTCCAAATCTATCAGCGACAAATCCTCCTCCTCACAAACCAGTTCATTCACCCTATGGGTAACATTAGCTCGCTGGTACAGTTGTCTTTGGTTAGCGATTAGACTCTCTGCCAGTCTCACCTCCCGACAAAACTCGGACAAAGTTTTAAGGCGAATCGAGAACATCATTTGAGCTAATGATGGTTTTAAATTCCCTCGCATGATTTCTACCAGTTGCTCCTCCGCATATGGGTGCTGCTGCTGGTTTCGGAGCTTTATGACCGCATTGTAATAATCATCAAAAGCCTCTTGCGGTAACTGACGGCGATTGAGAATCTTCATTTGTATTTCGTGCTCTTGTTCGAAACGACGGTATTGTGCAAGCAGGGCTTTCTCCAACTCCTCCCAGGTATTAATGTGGACAATCTTCCGGTAATCCCAGTACCAGTCTAGAGCGGGGCCATCTAGAAGGAGATGGAAACTCCTCAGGATTTCATCATCAGAGCATCCGTAATCCCTCCTCAACGCTCCAACTCTAAAAATGAATTCTTGGACATTCAGAGTTTTGCTGGTCCCATCAAATCTAACACCCCATTTGGCTAATTTAAACTTATCCCAGGGCTCTTGAGGTCTTGGCATGGACATTGCCAAGTTGTAGTTTAGAGGCGGTGGCGGTTGCTGAGCGGGTGGCCCCGATCAAGTATCCTGTGGATACCCAGCCTGGGACGCACTTTGCCGTTGGAAATTGGCCTGTGGACCTTGCGGTGGCTGCGGCCATAGTTGCTGTTGCTGACTGAAAGCGTGAGCTGACGGATGGACGTACGGCAACTGGTTTTGTGGTTGTGGCTGGTTAGGCTGTTGCGCTGGCGGTAGATTCTGGGGGTTTCCCTGCGACCAAAGTTGCTGCGGCTGACTATTACACGCCGCCGTCTGCTGGATAACCGGCAGAGGATTTTGCTGCTGAAGCAGCGACTGCTGCTGCTGGTACGGTGTCTGTACTGTCGGCTGCTGATATGAAGTCTGTACTGGAGGCGGCTGGATGTTAGCCTCTACTATTCTCGGCGCTGCTGGACCAACGGGCACATAATTTGGAGCTGGAATCAGCGGTGGTGGCTGCTGATAAGTTGGCGGGCCAAGCGGCGTTGCTGGTTGACCATATCCCGATGGCCGTGCCTCCAAAGAGGTTCTGAGAGGCTGTGTAGTCGGCATTCCTTGGCCGATTGGGGACATCTCGGTAGGCACTGGAGCCGCATTACTCATCGACAGCGACAAAAACAGCTGCTTCATGTCATCTAATACTTTTTGTATTTTGCTGTCGACCTCCTTCATAAATTGAACTTGGCGCAAACCCACCGACTTGGATGGAATTCTCCATTCCTTGACCAGCCATACTCTCTCTCACCTCTCTACGTATGTTCTGCGCTGTTTCGCTGATGAATGTCGGGGACACTACCGTCTGATTTGCCCCGTCAGAACTAATGGACAGATCATGGGATGTTTGGGCACTAATCAGTGGATTGGAGTCGCTGGTTGAAGTTGTAGCTGTGGTTGTATTGGTTGTGGGAACGGTGGATGTCGTGATAGATGTGGTGGTTGAGGTGTCGATACCACAAGTGACACTGCTTCCAGTCGTGGCCATAGCGTTATCTTGACCTATTAAACGACTTGCACGACGAGTCAACCCCATTAAAATCAAATAAAATTAATGTAAAATTCACGATTGCAAAAAGGCTTGTATATATTTATATTTAAAAAAAAGGTTCGTGGTACAGAATCTTTCGCAGCGTAGATATAGAAGAAAATATTAAACTAAAAGATTTTCCACCTTTCAAAAAAAGAAGAATTAAAAAAAACTCAAAAAAAAACTTAAATAACTTGAATGCGGGCGGCATTTTCGGGTAAATAAAAGTTTGCAGGTAAGATTTCGCAATTTACATTGCTGATTTGTGTATAGATATGACCTAATTCTTTTTCCTATTCTGGTTTCAGGAGATACAGAGTACTAACAAATAACAAAACAACAAAAGGATGGACAAGAACCAACTGTCTTTCTACAGTACGTACGAATGAGGTGCAACTTGACCAGGGTTACGTTCTCCTAGTATTCAAGGACTACCTTCCTAGACCTCCTGCAGAACTAAAACGTAAGTATTTTTACATTAAGACAACTAGTTTAGGGTTATTGTAATCTAAAGGGATGTTGTCGCTATCCTTCCTTCCAACTTGAGCATTTAGAGAATAAACTGTGTCTATTATCTCTAAGCCTCAAGTTGTTAGGAAAGGATAGCAACGGATGAATCCAGAATTCTGTATGACCCTATTGCCCCCACCAGATGTCGCAACGCGATCGGGACTCTTTAGTCCTTGAGACCGGGACTTACATCTGTGAGAACAATAGGTGTCATGCGCAATTAGGGATTCATACCTATTGAAACTAAAAGGAAGAAAAAAAATTAAAAATGTCAATACACTATCCCGTCCGCCTACGTAGCTACAGCTAGGGACTCTTATTAACCTAACCGGCCTACGCAGACTTCAGGGAAATGATAGTTCCTATAAATTGGTCTATGGACCTACTTCGGGCCCCACGTTGGGCGCCATTTATGTAGTGGTGTGTTGTGTCAGCTGTTTGTTTAAATAAACAAACAGACAACATAAAGAACAAAAAGGGACAGAGCGGCCAGATTGCTAGCGGCGCTGGTATGCCCGCGTATTGCGCGGCTAAAGCTCGCCGGATGGGGTGGTTCTTGCCGGCAATCTGGACCACAGACACACACTAACACAAAAATTCATACCAGCATTTGGGGTATTATTAGAAAAAGGGGCCAAAAGTAGTCCTGCATCTCCCTACGGTCATACCTATACACAATATGGCCCTCCTCTCGAGGATTCATCCTCGCCTTGACGTCCACTTCCTCGACGTCCCTGATCTTCCCTGCAAACATTTAGTCACCCTACTTACCGCCGATTATTAGAAATTTACCACATCATATTAATGATACAATTTTTAAAATTTCATTTGAACATTATAAAAACTTGTTTATTAACAAAAAAATTTAACAAAAGTAATGTTTTATTTATAAGTTTAAAGTTTTTAGCAAGTTATAGTTTTAGAGCAAAATTTAGTTTTAAGTTTTTAATCAAATTTAAATTTTTAAATTTTAGCCAAATTTAACTTTAAGTTTTAACAATTAGTTTTTTTTTTTAGATATTAACCAAAATTTTAATTTTAAGTACAAAAAAATTTAGTTTAAATTTTAACAAAATTTAGTTTTAACAAATTTAGTTGTAGCAAAATTAGTTTTAATTTTAAGCAAATTTTAGTTTTACGTTAAACAAAATTTTATTTTTAAGTTTTTAGCTTTAAGTTTAATTTAAGTTTCAAGTTATTCTACGTCTTTTTTTTTCTTTTATTTAAGTTTTCCCTTTTATTTTTAGGTCCCTCAACATTGATTACTGGCTGGCTGCTGTGAGTGACAGGATTCTTGAGAGCTGATTGGTTGCAGGAATGGGTTTTCGGTCCGTCCGTATTTCAGTCTGTTAGAGTATTCACGGTAAGTAAAAAAAATATATTGGAAAAACCTTTTAAATAATTTTAAGGACCACTATTTAGCAAATATATGTATATATTTCTAGGCAACCTAAATTCAAACATATCGCGTTTTTTTCTTAATTAATATTTGGCCTGAGTTCAAACCTAATCGCGCACGTTTGGCGTAATCACAAACGGGATGACGACGTATTAAAAAAATGACGACAGGTAAGCCTACTTCTATATATATATATTTGTTTATTTATCTTTTTCTGTATTTTATTTTCTACGAAATTATTTAAAAGTAGTATTTAGAAGTCCTGTCCGTTTGGTCGTCCGGGTGAATGGTAAGTACTAAGGTCGAAAACCTGATACCTGAGCACCACAGGATTGCTGGTGCTGGTCTGCCAAAAGAGTCCCACGATGGATGGAGCTGGCGATGGCGTGGATTGTTTGCTGTTGGCTTAGTTTCAAATTCCTGTATTGTTTAGTTTCAAGTTTAATTTCCTTTCGTTTTAAGTTCAACTTTACTTGGTTTAAAATTGTAAACTTTAAAATTTTTAAGTATATTAAATAAAATAAAAATTATTTAATTTAAATTGAAATTGGGTTTGTTTCCTTTAAGTTGACAGCCACGGGCTCCACCTTCTTCTTGGGCAGGGAAAAATGAAAAAGAAAGACATCTTACTTTTTTGGTAACGAGAAACCTCGTATAGTTTTTTTACATTATAGTTTTGTTTTTGTTTACATTTTCCAGCTGTCAGATAGTTTGTACAGCCGCGTTGCCAACTTCACTTTTCGTCTTCTTCTTTTTAAATTTTGCCCTACTACAGGGTGCACACGACATCCTAGATGAAGGGTCTTCGGTGACAATGATGGATAGCTCTTTAGTGAGGCAGCTTGGACTGCAAGGTCGACAAAGTCAATTGAATTTGAGTTGGTATGGTGGTAAATCAGCACAAGAAGCTGTCATGGTGGTGGATCTTCATGTGAGCGGTGTTAATAAGAAGAGGAAATACGCTTTGAAAAATGTGTATGGTGTCTCGAATTTGAAGTTGCCTAGCCAGAGCTTTAATGCGGATTTAGTAAAGAATTGTGGTGTTCCTTTATGCTCCTATGAATGTGTGGCTCCAAAGGTACTGATTGGTTTAGATCATTGCCATTTAGGATTGCCCGATGAAATAGTCCCTTTGGAAGATGCTGGTCCATATGCTGCCAATACGCCTCTTGGATGGGTTGTTTTTGGAAACGTAAAAATAGGTCGCCCTGGAACACAAACTTGTTTGCTGACAACACAGTTGGATAATTTGAATAATTTGGCGGCAAGTTATTTTGAAACAGAAAATTTTGGTGTTAAGGCTCTACCGGTGATTGAGTCAAGAGATGATTTGCGTGCACGAGAGATATTGAGAAATTCGACTAAGAGGGTTGCCGGAAGATTTGAATCCAGACAACTATGGTGTAATGATGACGTAGTCCTGCCGGATAGCTCGTGGCCGTGGCTCTAGAAGGCAGTTTAAATCATCAGGTCAGTTTCTCAGGTGGCTTAAATGAGATGGACGGCTCAACTGAAAAGGTACTTGGTATGTTTTGGGATCCAAAGGACGACGCATTCAAATTTGTTCTGAAATTCCATCGTGTGAATTCTGACGTCATCAGCGGTAAAAGGTGTCCCACAAAGCGTGAGTTATTATGTGTCGTAATGTCAATTTTTGATCCAATTGGTTTTTTGTGCCATTTTATGATAACGGCAAAAATTTGATGAGAGAACTCTGGAGACATAGTGTACTTTGGAACGAGATGTTGCCCGCCGCATTACAAATGATGTGGAATAATTGGCGCCAAGTGCTGAGAAATGTGGTCCACGTTAAGGTTCCACGATGGTATCTTGGAAATGGTTTGCCTTTGGAATTAGAGCTGCATGTTTTTGTTGATGCCAGTGAAGATGCCTTCGGTGTAGTGGCCTATTGGAGATATACAACATCTGATGGAGAAATAGGAGTGTCGTTTATATCTGCCAAGTCGAAATGTGCCCCATTGAAATGTATGACCATTCCCAGATTAGAATTACAAGACGCCGTTTTGGGAACCCGATTGATGGACACTATAATGAAGGAACACGATCTCAATGCTTCTCGTCGAATCTGTTGGAGTGACTCTACAACCGTCATTAGTTGGATTGGTTCTGAAAGCTGGAGATATAAACCATTTGTTGCCCACCGGATCGCCGAAATACTTAATTCCTCACGCCCGACTGATTGGAGATGGTTGCCTACGGATATAAATGTTGTCGATGACATTACAAGAGCTAAAAATGAAGTTGATTTTGCCATTGAAACACGTTGGTTCCAAGGGCCACAATTTTTGTATAAAAACGAAGCTGATTGGCCGAATAAGAATTCTGAGAAACCTGATAATTTGTGTGAGGAAGAACTACGCCCCAAATTTGTCATGCTGGTTAGTACAAATTTAGTTATAGATTTTAATCGTTTTTCTTCATTTCTCAGGCTTAAACGTACTATGGCTTGGGTTCTGAGATTTGTCAATCGTTGCCGAAAAGATGATAAAAATAATGGTTCAAGGTGCCTGTGTGCCGAAGAGTTAAGGATTGCTGAAACTAGTCTGTGCCGTCTGTCCCAAGGAGAGAGTTTCGCCTTTGAAATAAACGTTTTAAAATCTGGTGGTTCTTTAAAAAAGGAAAACGAGTTATTTTCTCTTTCGCCTTATTTTGATGAAAATAATTTACTTCGAGTGAGCGGACGTATTGATGCTGCGAGTTGGTTGCCTTTAGATGCTAGGCACCCCATTATTTTGTCGCCCTGTCACCGCTTTGCACAACTATTTGTTGCCCATGTGCATAATAACATGAGACATCAAAATCTTGAGGCTACCATAGGCGAAATAAGGAAAAGGTTCTGGATTCCACGACTACGAAAGCTGTTGAGTAAGACCACATCAAATTGCAACATTTGTAAGATTCGACGTGCCGTTCCAGTGGCTCCCTTTATGGGATCATTGGCAAGTGATAGACTAACTCCATACGTCCGTCCATTTACTTATACTGGTGTGGACTATTTTGGCCCAATAATCGTGACTATTGGTAGACGTCATGAAAAACGTTGGGTTGCCCTGTTTACGTGTCTCACAATTAGAGCAGTACATTTAGAAGTGGCCTATGATCTTTCGACTGATGCATGTATTTTGTGTATACGGAATTTTATAAATCGTCGTGGCACCCCATTGAAGATTCGGAGCGACAACGGAAAAAATTTTGTTGGAGTTAACCAGGAAGCCCAGCGATTTGATGAAGTTTTTGATCTGGTTAAAATTGAGGATGAGTTGTCCGCAAAGGGAATTGAATGGCAGTTTAATTGTCCACACAACCCTGCAGAGGGTGGTATATGGGAGCGAATGGTCCAATGTGTTAAAAGGGTTTTAAGAGTAACTCTAAAAGAAGTCGCCCTAAAAGAGCACACATTGCAAAGTTTTTTAATTGAATCCGAAAACATCGTAAACTCTCGCCCATTGACTCACTTGCCTGTCAGCCCTGAAGGCGAAGAACCGTTGACGCCAAATCATTTCTTGTTGGGATCTGCAAATACGGCTCAAACACCAGAAGGTATTGAAATAACAAAGCCAGTGGTACTGAAAAAGCAGTGGCGAATTGCTAGACAGCTACGAGATCATTTCTGGAAAAGATGGATTATTGAATATTTGCCCACACTTACAAGACGGTCAAAATGGTGTGAATATTCCAAGCCTGTGGCTCCGGGTGATCTTGTACTAATTTGTGATCCAGCTGTTTCCCGTCGAGATTGGAAGAGAGGTCGTGTCATAAATGTGTTCCCTGGCAGTGATGGTGTAATACGGAGAGCTGATGTCCAAACAAGTAGTGGAATACTTAAACGCCCGGTTTTCAAACTAGCAGTCCTTGATTTGGATGGTGAATCGTTGCCGATTCACGGTGGTGGGAATGTCGCCTGATGGCTCATCAATTTATTATTTTTATTTTCATTTAATTTAAAATATTTTTGTTAATTTAAATATTTTTTTGTGGGCTATCCTAATGTTTAATTTTGTCTTATTTACCAAATTGTTAGTGATACTTATTGTAAGATCATTGTTGTTGTTTAGTTCATTTGTCCGTTAGGATTTTTTTTATATTGTTTTGCATTCCTTTTTGTTCTCATTTGTTTACGAACTAAACGCATTCTTTGTCCCTATATTCTACTGCAGTAGTTTCATTCAGTTTATTTTTAATAGAAATAAACGGTTGCTCAAATATATGCATCATTAATTTCACATTTGTGGTTCATTTATTTGGGACTTGTTAAATTCGCTGTCCTCAACATAAAGGCTCAGGTCGCAGCCAGCGACAGTATGTGACAAATTTTAACAAATTATATTCAAAATTGTAATCTGTTGCGTGCACACAAGGTTTACACGGTCACAATGACGGACATAGCTTAATATGGACAAATATTTTTGAGTGTTACAATGGGTACGGGCTAGGGCAGAAATTGAACCGATCCTTATAACATTTATTATTAGGAATTATCTATATACATATATAAAAATGAATGTGTGTTTGTTTGTATGTTTATATGTTTTCTTCAACGTATTCCTGTATATCTGGCAATAGGCTACTTTTTATTTCCGATCATGGCGAAAAATGACAATGTTATTTATGATTATATCAAACTTAGTTGTGCCAATTTTTGGGAAGATAGTCAAATTTCATCGTGATACTAGTGTTTATAAGTAAATTGTGGACATTCAAGTCATTTTCTGAGGGGGACTTTGTATGGGGGCTAGGGTCAAATAATGTCCGATCTTTACGAAAATCACAAGAATTATTAAGACATATATAAAACTAAATTTTTCCAATTTTTGTAGAGATAGTAGATCATTTAACATAATTATGAGGTCAAAAGCCCTATTGTCCGATTTCAACCAATTTCAATAGCGTTCGTTCCATTTCCAAGAGAAGTACATGTTCCAAATCTCATCAAATTATCTCAAAAATTGCGCACAAGATTTACATGGACACACAGACGGACATAGCTTAATCGACTCAGGAAGTGATTCTGAGCCGATTGGTATATTTTAAGGTAGGACCAATATTTTTGGGTGTTACAAACATCAGCACAAACGCATAATACCCTCCCCACTATAGTGGTGTAGGGTATAATTAATAGTTATAAAAACCTTAATCACTGTATTTACGCTGATGATCTATACATCTTCTGTAAAAAGAATAGTATCTCTGAGGCTAATAACATATTGCAAAATGTATTCAACAAAATTAATGATTGGTGTTCAATATCTGGAGCCAAAATTTCCACGGAAAAGACCAAAAAATTACATATTTGCCGGAAAATGTTTGTGACAACCAATCTTATAATTTAAATTTAGAAAGCACTGCTGTTGAAAATGTCGATAAATTAAAAATTCCAAAAATTATTCCTGGAAAGAACACTATTTGTCACTAAAAAGATCACTTACTCAAAGAGTAAATTTAATTGCGTATCTATCAAGTAAAAGAAGCTGTATACATATACATAAATACCCTAACATATATTACTAGAACTGTGATTCTCAGCAAAATTGATTACGGTCTTTTTCTAACTGGAAACACACCAAAATCTAATATCAACAATATAAAAGGTCTATATCATCGTGCTATAAGATCAAGCATATTTGCATTTCGTACTACGCCCCTAAAACACATATTTGCAAAGTCTGAATTACCTTCAATTGAAGATCGTATTCAGGAGATCAAATTTAAATTAATTACAAAGCTAATCTTTACCAACAACTCAATAATTGATAAAGATGTTCGTAAACATGCAACAGCAAAAAGAATATATAGATACAGAGCAGCTATACACGAAATATATCAATTGGCTATTTCAGTTAAAATAAATATAATAACAAAAACCACAACAAGCTAATACCCATGCTGGTTTTTCAATAATGTATCATGAGACATATCACTATCTAAGTTTGTGAAACAATCCACCTCAAATGACGTCTTTCTAAAACTATATTTGGAGAAACAACATTATCTTCTAATTGAAGGATGGAACTTCTTGTTTACAGATGGATCAAAAAGCACAAATGATTCAACATCATATGCTGTTATTGGTTATAATGATGATAAAATTATAAGTTTAAAAAATCTTCCCAACTTCACATCCATTTTTGTAGTTGAGGCCGCTGCTATATTAAATGCTAACTATATTTCAAGCAAAATGGAATTTAAGACAGTTATATGTACTGATAGTCTACAGAGAATTATATAATATTTTTTTTCAACGGAGAAATGTTTCACTAAATTGAAAGTTTAAGTTATCAGGTCAGTCTAGAAATGGTTTAAGTCAATGAATAAAACTTTCATTATTTACAAAGTTTCCAAGCTATTGCTTAATAAAAACATCCAGTAGCCACATCATTTTGCAACTGGCAACGTAGCTGAAGTGGCAATCGGGATGCATAATCGACCTATTAATTTATTTCTCCGAGGAGAGTCCACCATTCCGTTAAAAGAAAATAATCGTTCTACTGGAACAATTTTGGAATTCAGGTGTTTAATTTCTTTTTAAAGCATGAAATATTTTTGGAGTAACTGCTTATGTAGGGTCCATTATAGTGTCATCGCTATCAAAATCTGTATTTTCCATTTTAATAGATGTACCTTTTAAAAGATTTCATTATTTATTGTCCTACAAATTCTTTAATTTTCATTTAAAAAAATTAGTGCAAAGAAAATTATTGCAGCCTTTTGTTAGTGACTGTTCAAATTTTTAACTATTTGAGTGTAGTGCTTTTTTCTACACTTTCACTCAATCGAGTTATAGTTAAAAAAATAAAATTATCACTAAAAAATATTAGTGCTAAAAATATAAGCTTCACTACCACTAAGCTGATGAAAATTAGTGAAAAATATATTTTGTGAAATAATATTTAGTGCTAGGGAAATATTGATTTAACTAAATATTTAGTGCACTACCCCCATCTCTGATAGTCTATCGGTGGTTAAGTCAATATGTAACACAACCTCATTCAAATGGAACATTATTAATTAAATCCGTGATCTCTTAATAAAGTACGAGCACAAAGTAAAAATTTTGTAGATCCCAGGTCATGCAGATATAAAAGGCAACATAAAAGCTGATGAAGCAGCAAAATTTGCTAATATGGCTCCAATAGTTATGGAGAAGAGAATGGAAAGGGCAGACAACCGCAATATGATCAATGACTACATTCATAAAAAACAAATCATATCATGGTCCGGTTATTATCATCCCCACTATAAAGAACTCAACATAAGATAAACATCAAATTCAAATCTTTAGCCGTCTCCGCATTGGACATACTACTGCTACTCACAACCATATCCTTCGAAATGAACTGCTCCCTCCTGCAGCAAATGTGGACTTTTTCTCAACATCATCATATCCTGTCCTGAATGTGCCTATTATCAACCTAGAAGAAACAATATATTTGGAACACAATACCCCAAAAACTGTTGGAAATACGAACCTTCATCATCATTCTTCTTCATCTTTTGGTTCTTCACATCATATACCATAAAATAATAAACAATGGATAAATGTTATAATAATTAATTAATCTAATTAATTAATTATTCTATACAATAATATTCATCAATAATATAATAAATAATAATAATAATAATATAATAATAATAATCTAATATAAAATAATAATAATAATAATAAATAATAATAAAATAATCTAATAAAATAATACTATAATAATCATAATAATAATAATATAATCATCTAATCACTACTATAATCACTAATATCTCATCTAATACACTCATTCCTCAATAATAATAATAATATAATACCTAATCATACCACTCATAATAATAATAATAATAATAATAATAATACTAATAATAATAATAACAAGTAAGAGTGTTATATTCGGCTGTGCCGAATCTCATATACCCACCATCAAACCGTATGCCGTAAAAGGAATGCTCCCCTATAAACATCAGCGTGATATTTGGAATATGGCTTAAGTCAATTATGTCCCGAGCTCTTTTGAACTAACAAAATATTAATTAAAAAAAAAAAAACAAATATTTTATTTCAATTCTTAAACCGTGAGCGTCAATTATGAACCGAGACTCATACAATTTTTTACATAGATTATGTATACGACTTGTTTATGCAAAATTTCAGCGCTATACTCGTATTTTAAATAAGGAACACTCGTAGTTATTAACCAAAACTCTTTCCTGAAGGGAACCTTTTGTGTATTAGCAACACATTCCGCATGAAATTCGGAGCTAATTTCATAACCGTATTTCATAACTCATATTTTTAAGCCAGTAATGATCGTTTAAGTTATTTTCTGAAGGGGACCTTATATGGGCGGTAGGGTAAATTATGGACCGATCCTCCCTAAATTTGGTGGAGAGATTTTGGCACGCATTAAACTTATGTGCGTCAATTTCGTCACATTCATATTTTTAAGCCAGTAATGAGCATTGTAGTTATTTGCAGAGGGGGACCTTATATGGGGGAAGGGTTATTTATGGGCCGATCCAAAAAAATTGGTACAGAGGTTTTGGCTCGTAAGAAACTTACGTGTGTAGCATTTCATCGCTTTACTCGTATTTTAAGACAGTAATGAGCGTTTAAGCTAATTCCTGAAGTGGACCCAATAGGGGGAGTAGGGCCAATTATGGACCTATCCACATAAAAGTTATTAAAAAGATTTTGGCTCGCGAGGAACTTAATTGTGTAAAATTTTATTGCTATATTCATATTTTTTAGCCAGTAATGAGCGTTAAAGTCATTTTCAGAAGGGAACCTTATATGGGGGATAGGGTCATTTATGGGCCGATATTAAAAAAATTCGTAGAGCGATTTTGGTTCGTAAGAAACTTACTTATACCGAATTTCATTGCTATACTCGCATTTTTGGACCAGTAATGAGTGTTAAAGTAATTTTCTAAATGGGACCTTATATGGGGGGTTGGGTTAATTATGGACCGATCCTCAAAAAATTTGGTAGAAAAATTTTGGTTCACATGAAACTTATTTATGTAGAATTTCATCGCTATACTTGCATTTTAGGGCCAGTAATGAGTGTTAAAGTCATTTTCAGGAGGGGACCTTATATGGGGGGTAGGGTCATTTATGGGCCGATCCTAAAAAAAATTGGTTAAAAGGTTTTGGTTCGTAAGAAACTTACTTATACTGAATTTCATCGCTATACTCGAATTTTTAGGCTAGTAATGAGTGTTAAAGTCATTTTCTAAAGGGGACCTTATATAGGGGGTAGGGTCATTTATGGGTCGATCCTAAAAAAAATTGGTAGATAGAATTTGGTTCGTAAGAAACATACTTATACCGAATTTCATCGCTATACTTGCATTTTGGGAACAGTAATCAGTGTTAAAGTAATTTTCAGAAGGGGACCTTATATGGGGGTAGGGTCATTTATAGGCCGATCCTCAAAAAATTTGGTAGAAAGATTTTGGCTCACATTAAACTTTTTTATGTCGAATTTCATCGCTATACTCCTACTTATAAAACAGTTATGCCCGTTAAAGCTGTTTTTGGAGGTCCACTTGTATGGGGGCTATCCGAAAAAGTGGACCGATATTGCCCATTTTCAATACCAAACAAACCTTAACAATAGAGAATATTTGTGCGAAATTTGAACTGTCTAGCTCCTCTCGTGTGGTCCCTATCGTGATTTCAACAGACAGACGGACGGACAGACGGACGGACGGACATGGCTAGATCGTCTTAGAATTTAATAAGGACCCGGAATATATATACTTTTATGGGTCTATGACCAATATTTCGATGTGTTACAAACGGAATGACAAAATCAATATACCCCCCCATCTTTTTTGACGGTGGGTATAATAATAATAATAATAATACTAAATATATATAATAATAATATATATATATAATAATAATAATAATAATAATAATATAATAATATAATAATAATAATAATATAATATAATAATAATAATAATAATAATAATAATAATAATACTATACTACTCATAATAATAATATAATAAATAATACTACTAAATAATCCTCCTACATATAACTAATAATACTAATCCTAATAATCCATCATACTACTACTCATATATATCTAAATCATAATAATAATATAATATAATAATCCTAATAATCTATAACTCCTAATATCATACTCATTCCTACTCCTCCTCTCTCCTCTAATACTCCTCTCTCCTCCTACTATCCTCCGCTCTCCTCCTCCTCCTCCTACTCCTCCTCCTCCTCCTCTCATCTCCTCCTCCTCCTCCTCCACCTCCTCCTCCTCCTCCTCCTCCTCCTCCTCCTCTCTCTCATCCTCCTCCTCTCTCCTCCTCTCCTCCTCCTCCTCCTCCTCCTCCTCCTCCTCCTATCCTCCTACCTCCTCTCTCCTCCTCATCCTCCTCCTCCTCCTCCTCCTCCTCCTCCTCCTCCTCCTCCTCCTCCTCCTCCTCCTCTCCTCCTCCTCCTCCTCCTCCTCCTCCTCCTCCTCCTCCTCCTCCTCCTCCTCCTCCTCCTCCTCCTCCTCCTCCTCCTCATCCTCCTCCTCCTCCTCCTCTCATCCCTCCTCCTCTCCTCCTCCTCCTCCTCCTCCTCCTCCTCCTCCTCCTCCTCCTCCTCCTCCTCCTCCTCCTCCTCCTCCTCCTCCTCCTCCTCCTCCTCCTCCTCCTCCTCCTCCTCCTCCTCCTCCTCCTCCTCCTCCTCCTCCTCCTCTCCTCCTCCTCCTCCGCCTCCTCCTCCTCCTCCTCCTCCTCCTCCTCCTCCTCCTCCTCCTCTCCTCCTCCTCCTCCTCCTCCTCCTCCTCCTCCTCCTACTCCTCCTCCTCCTCCTCCTCCTCCTCCTCCTCCTCCTCCTCCTCCTACTCCATCCTCCTCCTCCTCCTCCTCCTCCTCCTCCTCCTCCTCCTCCTCCTCCTCCTCCTCCTCCTCCTCCTCCTCCTCCTCCTCCTCCTCCTCCTCCTCCTCTCCTCCTCCTCCTCCTCCTCCTCCTCCTCCTCCTCCTCCTCCTCCTCCTCCTCCTCCTCCTCCTCCTCCGCCTCCTCCTCCTCCTCCTCCTCCTCCTCCTCCTCCTCCTCCTCCTCCTCCTCCTCCTCCGCCTCTCCTCCTCCTCCTCCTCCTCCTCCTCCTCCTCCTCCTCCTCCTCCTCCTCCTCCTCCTCCTCCTCCTCCTCCTCCTCTCCTCCTCCTCCTCCTCCTCCTCCTCCTCCTCCTCCTCCTCCTCCTCCTCCTCCTCCTCCTCCTCCTCCTCCTCCTCCTCCTCCTCCTCCTCCTCCTCCTCCTCCATCCTCCTCCTCCTCCTCCTCCTCCTCCTCCTCCTCCTCCTCCTCCTCCTCTCCTCTCCTCTCCTCTCCTCCTCTCTTCCTCCTTCCTTCCTCTTCTCCTCCTCCTTCCTCCTCCCCCTCCTCCTTTTCTCCTCCTCCTCCTCCCTCCTCCCTCTCCTCCTTCCCTCTCTCCCTCTCTCCGTCCTCCTCCTCCTCTTTCCTCCTCCTCCTGCTCCCGTTTCCTTCTCGTTCTTCGCCCTCGAATTACTTCATTCTCCCCCCCCCGTTTTTTACCTCTCCCTTGCGCTTCCCCCTGCCTCGCCCCCTGTCTACTCCTTCAAAACGGAGTACGCCGTTAGAGTCTAAGACCCAAAATTAGTTTGTGTTTCAGCGTTTTTTCACGTACTTACAGTGTAATTAATTCATTGAATATTTTCAGGGAAAAAAAGTCCAGTCTCAGCGAATGTTACAACAACAAAGTAGTGCATCACACCAGTGCGAGTAAGATGAAACTCGAAAGCCAGAAAACGAACACAAGGCTGACCGACCTAAAAAATTAATAGCGATGACGCGAAAATTGAGGTTATATTGGAACATTAAATGAATAATTCAAAATAAAAATAAATTTTTTGTGCTGTGGTGGATTACCAAACTGTTTAACACGACAAAGGAATCCAGTATCTCTGCTTTCTATACGATTTTATAGGTAGAAGTAAGGTTTTAGAGGAGGCTTCTAATCAAATTGTTCGTGGCCTCATATGCGAAGGATCCGCCAAGTAAATTTTCTATCATACGAAATTTGTTGCAGGGGCATAAAGTAATTTCAAATCAATAAAAAAGTATTGAGCTTTTCAAAATTTTATTTTTTTTATTTAGATTTTTATTTTTAGTTATATTTTCAGTTGTCACAATTAGCAATTTTATTCATATACCATTAAAACAAAAAAAAAATTGTGAGGAATATTTTACATATGTATCTAAGTACATACATACATACATATGTACATAAAAAATACATTTTGACAAGTAAATGAATTTTGTAATAAGGCGAATTTAACTCTTATAATTATACAAGATATTGTAGAGTAAAACAACTTTTATGAATTTAAAAAATAAATAATGTTATAATATGAAGAACTATCTTTAAAATAGTTATTCGTTTTGTAAAATTTACATATTTCGTTTTCGTACAATGTATTGTATAAAATCATCTCTGTATAAAATATGATCATCCACTTTATTACTTCTTTCTTCGACTTGATATGTATTCGTCCATTTCCAAAGTAGTCGCCTTATAAAACTATTTCGAAAAGAAGCGTACAATATATTTTGCATTTCATCAGGCATATTATTTTTATAATAAGATGCGTTTCTAGTTTTGTTATAGTAGTACAGCATATTTTGCGATTTTGACATTATCGAGAAAAAATAATGGCATATTTCACAAAACAATAGTATTCCACCAGGAACAAAAAATTTTGTATCCGTATCATTTAATGATATTCCAAGACGTTGAGCGCCATCCTTTAATCTGTAATGACGCATCGTGCCAAAGAATTCATCAATATCTTCTAATTTGAAAAGCCTTTTACAGCGAAGTAATGATACACCGCCTTCTTTATATGGCTTATTTATACTCTTTGCAAACTTTGTACACATTGATAAACGTTCATTTAACCTTAATCTTCTTACATCCTTACCACCTAACATAATTGCATCAATTATGTGTAAACTGCATGTTCTAGTTTGTGTTCTTCCTTCGCCATTATATTCAAATACAAGTTCTCCATAAAATAAAGATTTTGGAGATAATTCAAACATATATTCCACTGGTTCCCACTTTTTCATATCGGTGTACCTAAGCAATTTTCCTCTTGTTGTACAAATAAAAAAGCTACAAGCGTTCGCACTTGTTTCTCCTCGCCCTATTGGTACAAAATACCAATCATGTATGCTTTCTATCCATTTGTTTAGCATTGATGAAGATACTAACTCGACAGGAGTAGAATTAAACCATACTTTATCTTCGTACCAATTATTTAGAAATTCTTCTAGAAACTTTTCAACTGATTTATTCTCAGGAGCCTGTCGTAATTTGTCAGGTAATCTCCAAAGTTCTAAGCACTTTTTTCGAAATTCAGTTTGCCTAGTTTCTTTTAATAGTGGATTATTACAATATGCTGATATTTTTTTCAATCCAATTATTTGATTGCTACCTATTAAATTATTGGATTCTTTTATATATTTAAAAAAATCTTCGTCTTGCATAATGACATCTAAATCTACAATTTCTAACACATCTCGGTCGCTTTGTTTGTTTATATGGTTATTGATTAAATTTAAGTATTTACATATAACTTCCGTGTCGGATTTTTTCCATTTACATACTAAATATCTTTCCGAGTTGGCGGGACGGCTGCTATTTGGTTTTATTATTGCTATTTCTTCGAAACACTGATACATTAAATATACCAGACCTACACTAAACGGCGTAAAAATATCGAATAGCTTGCAAACAAAACTTCCATTGCACCTTAAAATTTTAAGAGCTGTGAGACATTGACATAAATAAAGCTGTTTTGATAATATCTCTTGAATATTTTCTTGACCTTCAACTGAAAATCCACCGTCTGCCATAACGAAATGAACGCCTTCTTCACAATGTTTAAATATATAGCTAGCGAATGAATCTTGATTTGCTTCCACATAAACATCACCATCCCCTTGTATACCATAGAATGGGTCAAATGATTCAGGTGATCCTGCTGAAAATTTATCTAACTTAAAATCGTTTGCCCCTCGAAGTGTAAACCCAAATCCTTTTGCTTCCCATGATTTTCTATACAATATATACTCCGAAAATCCTCCAGGACCTATTTATAAAGAAAAATTTAAGTAATTATTTTTAAAATATTTTATTTTGAATAACCTGCACAAATATCAGCAAAGTACAAAAGATCATTATCGTGTATAAGAGAATTCCCCATTTTATCTTTAGGATTTGTAAACATAAAATCCAACATTGAATCAATATTAGCCATTTTTACTGCTGCTCTGTTTTGGAAAATAGAACTTCGAATTGTCTCGAATGGATTACTTCGAGATCTAGCTTTCCTCAATTCATTTTCATTGAGTTTGTCAAACACAGTCTTTGCTTCTAAAATAGCATTTAAAATTTCAGGTTCAACAAATAATGTTTCATCATCTAAAGTTTCCTTGCGTTCGCCAAAACTTATCCAGCACATTAATTGTTGGATACTTTGTGTAAAATTGTTACTTGAAGAAATCCAGGAAACAACTTCAGGTACAGTTATCTTTTCAATATTTGGATCCCAGTGTTCTCCTTGGTGCTGTACAGACTCATGTTTTAAACCCAATCCTCGTCTACCATCCTGTTGAAACGCAACAATAGGTTCGAGACGTCCTTGACTTTGTTTACCTAAACCTTTATCAGTTTCGTATCCCATTTTTTTCATCATTTCCATAGCTTTGTTGGAATAGCTTTTAGACCATTCTGTTTTCATTTTCTTTGGAACCACTTCATACAACTCATTTTCGCTATTATCTTCGCCTTCCATTGTAAAGTATTTTGCTAAATTATATCAATTACTAAATTTACTTTTAAAGGGGGTATTTTATTAAAGATAGTATAAAACAAATGATACCATAGAAACAAGTCGATTCAAAAGGTGCCGACGGCGGCTTGCTATAAAAAGCGCACGCGGCGTCAAGAAAAGCATCTAAAAGGAGGCTCTACACAAGGCAAATTCACATAAGGTGGTGTCTTTTCTGCAACAACAACATTTTACATGTATTGTGTTTTTGCATTTGGTTCACGTCGAAAACGCAAAAAAGTTATGCCTAATCGTTACGTTGATAAAGTATGAAAAATAATTAAATATGTTTTAATAGAATAAAAAAATTTTCAATATAAAAAATTTTATATATAAAAAGTATTTAATTTAAAAATTGTGTGATTTGTGTGTGTGTGGTAAACACACACAAATCACAATTAAACACAAAAAAAGGCAAACAATAATTTTGACAGTTTTGTTTTTGTTCTCTTTCTCTTAATTTTTGTACGCCAAAGTTGAATATTTTTCAACTTTTGTACTTCGTACACAAGTTTGACGTATTGATTGCGATCTCTCTCGTTAAACACATAGTAAACACGAGCTGTCAGTCGCAGTTCGTCGTAAGCCCGTGTCTATATTAGACATATATTTATTATGCTAAACGTCAAATTGTTATCAGGGTAAAAAATTAGCAGGTACAGACGGCATTTATTAACGTTATAACGTCGTTATGACAGTGTTGTCTAAACAATTGTTTAGACAACATCATTTTATTGTAAAATTTGTTTAGAATTTTGTTTTTGTGCAATTAAAATTGATTTTTAGCATAAGTTTTAGTGAAATTAATATTTATTTACAAAATTTGCATTTAATTTTAATTGTTTTTATAAAATATAGCATTATTTTAATAAAATTATCTGTGAGTTGTAAAATCAGCATTTTGTTACCCCTATGTATTAACATAAACAAAAAACTGACAATTTTTCTGCCGACGTTTTGTCAAGTGCTGTGATAAATATTTGTCTAATATAGACAGGTGGTAAAGTATTGTACAAGGCGAATTCACATTAGGTGGTGGTACTTCTGCAAAACAACATTTTACATGTATTTTGTTTAAGCATTTAGTTCACGTAGATGTCAAAAACAGTAAGTAAGTATTCATTTCATGAAATTTTTTGTAAAATTTGTATATTTTATTGAAAAATAAAGATAAAGATATTAAAATTTGTGAAGAAAATATATCCTGAATAGAATGATGTTTGTTTCAAACGAAAAATTCTATTCTCGCAGATTAAATTAAATTAAGGTGAGTGCCTAAAATTATGTAAAACTGTAAAAAAGTACATATTCACGAAAAAATTGTATTATGAATGAATGAATCTTTGTTGCGAATGGATAATGGTGTAATGGGATAATGGGTGGGGTAAATACTTCATACAGTGAATCAATTAAGTAATTTGCCTATGTAAAATTTTATAAATTTTAAGAAAAACCTTTATCTGAACAATTATTTTTAGCAAAATATAGCAATTTGTTTGGTGTATTTTTTTTTAAATATCTATATTTTAATTTTCTACCATAAAAAGTAAAATCGTGATATTAATTAACGAGATTTTTGAGTATTTTGCTTTTTATTTTTTTTGTTCATTTTTTTAATATTACTGCATTATTTTATAAAATTTTATATTTTTATTACTCCTATATATTAGAATATTTTTTAGATATTTTAGTACTGAAACGACATTTCGTAATCGATTAATTATCCTATATACCTATAAGAATTTATCAATATTTGACTTAACATGAAATCTTTCGTTTCTTTGATTTAATTTCGAAAATAATAAGTAATTTTTAATTGGATACATGATATATTAGATAATCAATGGATTTGGACCTAGAAAAAATGTTTAGTGGGGTATAAATCTATATATTATAAGAAAAATAATCTGAGTTTTTGGTCATTTTGTATTGATAAACAAAAACTATATTACGGAAACCCCATCTTTTTGGGGAGTACTGTGTAAATTTTATTTAGAATTGTAGAATATTGATTCTTATTCAATAAATCTAACACTAAGTACCATCCTAGCCACTCTAAGTATGGGAACATCACCATATACCACTATAGAACTATTACATGCTAAAATCTCGATTTTCAACCTCATATTTTAAATGCTTTATTTTATGAAAAAGATACAGTAGGCGTATTTGGATCTGGATAGTTATTCTTGATTTGGGTTCTAAATATATATAAGTGTATGTATTAACTGAAAAATATTGCTTTTGTTGACCTTAGGTGATGAAACCACGTCTATTTTAAAATATCTAAATTAAGTATTTTTCCTGTACTACACGACAGTTCACTTTAAATTGATTCCAAGCAACCTAAGGTCTGTTTAGAGGTCTTAATTTAAACATTGTGTTCCTCCTAGTTCGTATATGGATTTTGGAGAAGATAAATCAGGAGCCCAATGGTTTTCCTTGGATACAAGTCGCCTCCCTTTGGCAGTTAAAGATTTTGAAAGACCACTCAGTGTGTATTTTCTAATAATTCTTTGGATCATTTCATCAATTACTCTATTTTATATTTTTTAATGATATTGATTAAACAACTCATAATTAAATATATTTCATTGATTTACACTTGTTCTAGAAATCTAAACTAATTTTTTATATTGAAATTGCCTCATTATTTTCCTTTAAACATTTTTAAGGCAATAACTTCACAGTTTCACACAATGAGGATATGATTTTTGCAAATTGCAATTGAAAAATACTTAACACGCTTCCTTTTAACAATAAAACAATAAATTCCAAAAAATAATTAAAAAATAATTTGAAAACCCCAACGAAATTAACTCGAATTCTAAAAATGCAAAATACTTTATTGACCTGCAAATTCTGATAAAAAATAATAAAATGCAACAACAAATGCACCAAAATTTGTATTTTAATATTTTTTCTTGGTTTTCCCATTTTACACAATCTCTATTTTTAATTGGAAAACATAAATTTACTTTTTACCTGTTTTTTTTTCGAATTTTATTTATGAACAGAAAGCTAAATTCTCTTAAAAAAGGTAGGCAAAAACTTAGTTGATTCCTGTATATGTTTTGCTATACAAAGGGTCCCGGAACAGTTTTTTTTAGTTAATCACTTTATCTAAATAGTGGATATATAAAACAATATTGTTTAATTTGTTAACATTTAATAGATTTCAAAATTAAGCCATAATGAAGATGTCAGCTGGCGCCAGCCGGGTATATACTTTATATAAAGAATTCCGGAACAAACTTTTTTAGTTAATAACATTATATTCACAGTATTAATATAAAATATAAAACAATATTGTTTAATATATTTATAGAAAAAACATTTTTCTTCAATAAAACTTTTGTATACATACTAATTAAAATACAATGAAATGAAATTATGCAATTATTTAAATAAAATAATATTTGTTTACGAAATGCTTAAACTTGGAGAACTTGATATTACAACGGATTATTGTATCCTCACTGGGTGATACAACAATCTGCAAAAGAGCCATACTGGGCACTCCTCAGGGAGGGGTGTAATCCCCACTCTTAAGGAATATGGCAATAAATGGACTCTTAGTTAGACTTGATTCACTAGTTTTTTAAAACGGTTGCATTCGCTGACGATGTTGCAGTAGCGGTAACTGAATGAAACCATTCACGTTTTATGACCATTCGCAAATTCATTGCTTTTGAATTGCCTTTACTCAACAATAATACAAATGTACATTGGCTTTATTACAATCTCTTTTTATATGACTTTATGCTGGCGAGAAAATAACAAAGTCCTCTTTTACATTGAGACTTTTTCCCCCTGGGCTTTTCTCAATTTTCTTTTAAATGCCCTTCGTAAAATCTTGAATGTTTACATTGAGACTTTTAAGGCATGCCTGCTTTTTGAAATTATGAGTGTAAGAGCTGGCATTTTTTATAATTCTTAATTTATTGTTTTAAATATTTTATAAATGAATAAATCTATTTCTTTAATATTTGTTATATTAAATATTGTTTTAATTATTTAAGTAAATATTTATATAAACAAATTTATGAAAAAATACTAAAATACTTTAAAATACATATTTTTGCTACTATTAGCTGTATGTTTTAGTTCTTCTTATAGTTAGTTATTTATTTTTTATTAAAGATATAATAACATTTTAATACTCATAACATTTGATAAAATAAATTATTTTTAAATTAATTGAAATATGTAAAAAATTAAATTATTGCAAATGGCAACACTCCCTACAAACATTTTCTATTGCGGAAGTTACCCGTGTGAAACTTCCAAACGTGCTAAAAGCTCGCCAGCCATGTTGCGGAAGTATAAGAATTCATGTCACCAGTCGGGAAGAACTGATGCCGAGCTGGGGAACGTCTAATAGTAACTTGGAAGATACTTCTGGAAGACCCGCAGAAGAAACTTCTAGATGACTCTTGGAAGTAAGGTATTGCCAAAGACTCTTCTAGATGTGACTAGGAAGTCACTTCTTGAAGTGACTACCTAGTATCCTCTAGAAGTGTTTCTATCTTATCTTCTAGAAGATGAGTTTTCTCTTCTTCTAGAAGATGAGTTTTCTCTTCTTCTAGAAGAAGAGTATTCTCTTCTTCTTGAAGATGAGTATTCTCTTCTTCTAGAAGATGAGTATTCTCGTCTTCTAGAAGATGAGTTTTCTCTTCTTCTATTTGTATACTCACCAAAATAAAATCTATAAAAATAAATCTAAATAAAATGAAATTTTATAGTTTTTATTGAATTAATTGAAATTAAAATAGTAGAAAATATAATTGATTTAACAACTAATCTAAAAAAAGTAATATATGTACATTAGACCGACACACAAAAATAATATTCGCTGTTATGTAATATGATGTTACCCAAAATATTTTCGGTTAAGTGTTGTCCATTCGTGAGCTGGACAGTTTTAAAGAAAATATCGTATGGGAACACGATTCTTCATGTTAAATTCAATATTTTATCCAGCTTCAAAAAATCTTTGTTATGTTTTATAATGGTTCCCAAAATATTTCTAGTCTATCGATGGCCGTTCGTGAGCTGAACCGGTTACAAAAAAGTCCCTTTTTAGTTATTTTGTTTTAAATTATACAGCATTTCT